CCGGGCTGCCTTTCTACCCCATTTTAAAAGCTCCAGCAAAAAGCGACAGCTATCTCTGGAAGGGAGAGCAGATATGTACTGCCAACACTGAACGGTCCAGGCTGTAAAGTGAGAAATGCACTGTGTTCCCTGGACTCGTCAGAACCTTCCACGGCACATGGGGTCTGGCAGAGCCCTTGGCTTAAGCTGCAATACCAGCACTGAGCATTTAGACCAAGGGTCAGCATTTCTTCATGCTTTGCTGCCTTACCTAGGAGCCCTAGGACAGCCTGTGGCTTCTTCACACCACCATACCTCACATAGACACCCCACTATTTAAGCTCCCCAAAAGCCTTCCACGCACGTATGATGGCCAGTAATGCTAAGCTGCTGCACCCCCCAGCTACATCCATGCATCTGAATGTATGTCTGGGGCTCACACGAGCCTCCACGCCAGGGCTGCTACAGTGGTCTCATGAACCCTGGAACCTTTGTGGTTTGCCACTGAAATGAAGCCATACAGAAGAAAGGCTGAAGGAATGTCCCCTTTGGAAAGTGTGTTTGTGTCCAATGCACAGGCCATATTTCACTTTTCAATAAGCCTCTTGCTGGAAACTCCTCCCAGGCTTTTGAAAGCCATTCAAAAAGGAATGGCTGAAGAAGACACTTTACCCATATACTAGCATGTCACCTGGGGAAAGACCCAGCCACCACCTTGATACAGGAACACTTCACCCTCCGGCACCTGCAGCCAAGAAAGTGCAGAGCTGGAAGCAGGGAAGCACTGTGGGTAAAATGAGGGGTGTTAGTTATCTAGGTCCTGTGGACTAACAGATTCCTGGAAGAATTAACACGGGAGAGCTAGCAGGGCCTCTGGTGGCGTGGAGATTGGCTCCAGGAGCATGCAGATTGCAGCCAGTGCTCTGTAACAGTCAGTGAGGCTCTCCCCACATCGTGCCATCGGGCTCTCAGAAAACTGTTTTTGAACCTCTGCTGTTTTCCAGGGTATCTTTAGCATATTATGAAGGCAAGAGAGAATACCAAGGACTTCCTTTTGGAAGCACTGGAGGACCTTACACTGGATATGTTTGAGAAATTTAAGTATAAATTATCATATATTGATTATGGTAAGATGGCAAATCTCTCCAAGTATTTGCTCAAGAAAGCCACCGACCCAGTTCAACTGGCAGACTACGTGTGTGACCACTACGGAGCTGACCTCGCTGTGGACATAGCTGTCTGCGTGCTTGAATGTATCAACCGAAGAGACACGGCAGCTAAACTCAAGGAGGAGAAAGGAAAAGGTAAAGAAACTTTGGTTACTGGCACTTTTGCATCCTTCTTTTTGATTGTTCCTAGAAAATATGTAGAACCTTTATCAAATAGATAGACAGCAGATTTCCATCCCCCGTGGAAGTCTGAAAACCCAAAGCACCTCTGGGTGCTGCCTCCTTATGCCTGACTTGTGTTGACTCCACTTGCCATCGGTGTTCCTGCTTATTTAGGCGACTGCTGCCACAATCTCCACACACTCTGCAGGACCGCCTGCTTCCAGCCTATGATGTAAGGATCCTAGGGTCTCCAGAGGCACTTGCTCTGCTGTCTTTTCTCTGCCTTGCCCAAGGTATTTTAGGGGAGTTTCTAAAGGCAGAGACACCAGGAGGAGTGTTCTGCTCCCCACCTGACGCACGACTGACAGTCTCTGTAGTACTACTCCACTAACAACTACATATAATTTCATTTTCAGCCCAGAAATCCAGTCCAACCCCTGCTTCATTAGTTCAAGGTACGTGCCATTGGGTTAGGCGCGTTTGGGTTTTATCGCCTACACACTCCCCCTGCTAGTACAAAGTGCATGATCACAGCCATAATCCTTAAGCCCCATCAGGGTCAGGAGGAAAATAATAAGTAGCTGTTATATGCCTGTGGGGAAAAAAACCCCAACCAACCTGTGCTGCTCTAGAGGTCATTAGTAGAAAGTGGTTCATAGCATTATTTTCAAGTTCAACTGAGGTGGGAATGCATTGCAGTGATGGGGGATGGGCATTTCAGACTTTTTTTTTCACCTCAGCATCGATAATAGGATTGGATGAACAGGGCCTGTTGAATGATCCAGAGATTCTTTAAAATGAAAGAGATGAGATAAACTCAAGGTACAAGAATTTTGTGGCCAAAATGTTTTCATTTAACAGTAGAATGCACACTGACTTTAATTTGAAATTCTCTTATTGCATACCCTTGATTTAGATTACAAGATGAAGTACAGAGAACACGTACAAAAGAATTACCACTGGATAAAAGACATGAACGCTCGTATTGGTGAGACAGTGACTCTGAACTCCAGGTATACAAGGCTGGTTCTTGTTAGTGGACATCGCCACAAAAAAAAGAAGGAACACGAAATCATGGCTGTGGGACGGAGACATGCAGAAATCATGCAGGAACAAGTGAATTCTTCCATTGATATAAGTGATCTTTTTAAGCCTGACAGTGATAAACAGACACCAAAAACTGTTGTGCTATTGGGAGCTGCAGGAATTGGGAAGACAATAACAGTAAGAAAGATAATGCTGGACCGGGCATCAGACAGACTCTATAGCTAATTTGATTATGTTTTCTACATACATTGTCGGGAGGGTAATCTTACAGCTCAGGGGAGTATGGTTGACATGATCTTCAAATGCTGCCCCAGTGATAATCCACCTCTTGAAGAGACCAGAAAAACTCCTTTTTGTCATCGATGGCTTTGATGAACTGAGGTTTTCTTTGGACCAGCCGCAAAATGATCTGTGCCCGTGGGCGATGAAGCCAGTGGAAATCATCCTGAGCAGTTTATTTAAGAAAATCCTTCTCCCTGAATGCTCCCTGTTGATCACAACAAGACCAGCTGCCCTACAAAAGCTGGAACAGTGCTTGGTGTGTGAATGCTCTGCTGAAATACTGGGATTTTCAGCAGCTGATAGGGAGGAATATTTCTACAAGTTTTTTGAAAATAAGGATGAAGGAAGGAAGGCCTTTCAGTTTGTTAAAGGAAATGAAATGGTCTTCACCATGTGCCTTGTCCCCATCATGTGCTGGATTGCCTGTACGGTTATGAAACAACAGCTTGAAAGTGGTGAAGATCTTACACAAACCCCCAAGACAACTACAGGAATTTATGTCCTTTATGTTTCCAGCTTACTAAAATCTCTGAGCAGCAAGTTGAAACAGAACTTGCACATTATCCTGAAAAGAATTTGTTGCCTGGCTGCTGATGGCATCTGGAAGCGAAAAGTTCTCTTTGAGGAAGAGGCAATCAACAAATTCTTGCTAAATCAGAGAGACACTCTCCCACTTTTTTTGAATGAGAGCACTTTTCAGAAGGGCATTGTATGTGGGAGTGCCTACAGTTTCATTCATCTGAGTGTCTAAGAGGTCTTTGCATCTCTATTCTATGCACTAGAAGATGATGGTGAAACAAGAGATAAGCAAGAAGATCCTAAAAGGGATGTGAAAAAATTGTTAGAAAACTATGGAAAATCAAGACACGATTTCATGTTAACTGTGCGGTCCCTATTTGGTCTCTTAAATAAAGAACGAAGAAATGTTTTGGAAAAAGAAATGGGGTGCAAAATATCTCCTGAAATTAAGGAAGAATTACTAACGTGGCTTCAAACTAGTCAAAAAACAGCTTTAGCTGTTAATGCAGAGAAAAGAGCAGTGATTCATGATTTGGAGGCTTGCCACTGTTTGTATGAAATCCAAGATGAAAGTTTTGTGAAAACCGTATTGGGTTATTTCACCGGAATATATCTACGAGACAACAATTTCACCCAGTTAGATCAAATAGTTCTTTCATTTTCATTTTCGTTGCACAAATATGTTGGAAAGACCCAACCAAACTGGGGTTCTCTTCCCTCATTGGAAGGAGGAGCCAAATCCTTAAACTAGAGTTTCTTGTTTTTTCCTGTTGAAGGGACTATTCCTTTTTAATGTGTGCATCTGGTACGATTAATCTCTCTCCTGTAAATGTATGTGAGCCGTGTTCTCCATGGGCTGTCCTCTGAGCATTCCCGTGAGGGATCCTCTCACTGCACCCACTCCCTCCCAACTGCTGTCCTATCATCACCGCTGCTTCTGTCCCCTTTCCTCTGTCTCACTCCTCTCTGCCTGTTCTCCCCACCAGAATACTTTGGGACTTCCCACTGGAAGGCTAAACAGGGTGCTCAGGATGAGACCAAGGAGTGCAGAGTGGCAGCAGGAGTCAGATGCACCTTGTCAGGGTCCTTGAGGACCACGTGGCTGCTGCTGCCCCAGATACCTGCTTAGGTGCAGCTGGCTAAGCCAGCATCCCTACATCTCTAGAGAACCTTCAGACACCGGAAGGGGCCTAAGGCAGACTCGGCAGGAACCCTGAATGCAAGGCAATGAGTTCCAAAGGAATTGCCATGCCCCAAAACCCCAGAGGTCCCTTTGCACTGGAATTCCCTCCTCAGGCTGCCTCCAGCCCCACTTCCCATACCTAGAGGGAGACAGGGTGAGGTTGGTTGTGCAAGGCCTGGCAGATGCCCCTGCCCAGGGCTGCGGGTAGATATCAGCCCTGCAGGGAGAGGGAGAGCCAGAGCACAGAGAGTGTGAAACACTCCTGGGTCACACAGGGCCCAGAAGGCATGTGTGGGGATGGAGGGAAGTGGGATCTGGACCCAGCGGCCCAGGCTGCAGTCACGGCCTGCGGGGTTTGACCCACCTCAGCAGCGGCCGAGGACCAGGGTGGGTGAGGCCAGAGGAGCAGTACTGGAGTTGGTCCCTGGAGAGTGCAGGGCTCTGGCCAGTGGAGAGGCAAGGCCAAAGCCCTGTTTGAGCTCCTCCCAGAAGCGATGGGTTGAGGGAGGTAACTGCTCTGGCTGGTGAGCAGGCACAACCTCCAGCATGGCCTCACGTTGGCTGCGGGTTGCCGAGCCCCTAGATTGCTGCTGTGCTCCTGGCCTGCCCCGGTCTGCTCCCCACCAGTGCTGAGAGCAGCCCTTGCTCATCCTTGTGCTTATCCCCAACAGGCTGGAGCAGTGCAAGCTCACAGCTGCCTGCTGTGAGGTTCTGGCCACGGTGCTCAGCACCAACCAGTACCTGACGGAGATGAGACTGCGTGGAAATGCTCTGGGAGACCCAGGGGTGCGGCTGCTATGTGAAGGGCTGAAACATCCCACCTGCCGGCTGCAGAGATTGGGGTGAGGAACAGTGAGCAGGCTCCTTGGGAAACTGCCCAGTCTGGAACCATGACAGGGCTTGTGGGTGGGCCAGTCAGCTGCAGGGATGGGGAAAGGCTGAGCAATGTGCCTCTCTTGTGATCAGTCACTGTTCACCCCAAGCTCCCTGCCTGACCTGCTAAGACCATGCGAGGCCTGGGTAATCCCATTCCGATACCCTCACCAGGGTATGTGAGTTATCTTGTGGCACATAGCACTGGATACTCCTCCTTAGGCAGTGGAATCCAGCCCTACGCCTCTAGTGATGTCGGTGGAAGCACTAGAAGGAAGCATCACATGGCTCATGCTCTCATGAAATCCCTGTGACCAGAATTCCCTTCTGGTTTTATATTCTCTTTAAAGGGTTGCTAGGGAAGACCAAGGACAGAAAAGACTGGAAACTAGATCAGATTTTCAGGGCAGGGAATAGATGGTGTTTCCAGCACTGCTCCATCACTGGCCACTTCTGGGCAGGGTTTCTGGCCATTCTCAGTGCTGGTTGGCCAGGAGAGGGGCTGGTGGTTAGCGTTATCAAAGCAGACATGGTCTGAAACCCTGGGCCCTCTCTGTGCTTCTTCCCTGCAGGTTGTGGAGTTGCAGTCTCACAGCTGCCTGCTGTAGGGATCTGGCCACTGTGCTCAGCACCAGCCAGACCCTGCTGGAGCTGGGGCTAGGGGCTAACACACTGGGAGATGCTGAAACACCCTGCCTGCCAGGTGCGAGTCCCCGGGTAAGGACCATTCCCTTCAGTCATTTCCCAAACTGTCCCATGGGGAAGCTTGAGGAAGTGTGTGTTTTGGAGTAAGAGGCTTCCCCTGCAACACTGTAGAAGAGTGACAGTGCTGTGCGTCTCCAGTGCTGAGCGACCGTTTACCCAGCGCTCCCAGCATCCCTTGCTGCTGTATAGAACGGGCAGTGGCAGAGCCCTCCAGGCACCTTACTTCCTTGACACTTCACCTCTAAGCCTCTGAAACTTGATCTAATGAAAGATGTCCCTGCCCATGGCACGGGAGTAGACTAGATTATCTTAAAAGGTCACTTCCAACCCAAACTGTTATGTGATTCTGATTCTGGAGTGGAGTGGCTTCCTGCAGTCATGGAGAAGGGAGATATTTTCCTCTGCAGGCTCAGTGGAAGTTCTGGGTAGATCAAAAAACAAAGGAATAGACAAAATTTGTACTTGACTCAGAAAATCACCTTTGTCTGGGCCCTGTAGCTCAGTGGTTAGAGCACTGGTCTCGTAAACCAGGGGTCGTGAGTTCAAACCTCACCAGGGCCACAATGCAAGCAGAAGGGGGCTTTCCTGTCTTTCTGGGTGCCAGTATGTCTGCTGTTTGACCATATGTGTTGGGATGCTGAGGACTGCAGAGAGACTGCAGCAGACACCTACTCCTCTCCCTCACAGGTTATTTACCCTGCCAGGCAACAAACGCATCCTTCCTCAGCCCGCTACCCTTTTACAGGGAGCGTTTCAGTCGGGGCCTGGACTCTGCCAAGGCCTTTGAATAGTCAAACACCCGCACAAGGGAATCCTGTCTCCTTTCCAAAACCCTAAGTGGAGCTTGCAGTCGTGATTTGTGCTTCAGAGGCGGCAGGCGCTAACAATTCAGCTACTGGCACTTTGGAAATTTTAATCGGAGAAGCACTATCTTGTACCAGTGGGCCACAAACATGACTTACTTTCTTCATGCTATGGGCATTCTGGAGACATCTTTTCTCTATCCAAAATGCCCTGTGATGAACTCAGTGGGTGTGGGACACTGATGAATTAGGTAAGGATATGTGGAAGAAGAGTATCTGCTCCTTTAAGGGTGTCTGGTCAAAGACTTTTTCAATTAAAAAATGGGCAGTAAGAAACTGAGGAAGCCATAAACAGACCAGACACAGACCCAAAGCTGACGGACAAGTGATAAGGAGGTGGTGATGAGAATCAAACCTGGTCAGTCCTGCTAATGGATAAAGGTATGTGGGACTCGGAATGATTATTCCAGCCAGGTTATCTGACAGAGGACCTTGGGTTACTAAGGCAAAGGGGGAAGCAATAAACAAAATATACAGAGACACAAACCGCACAGGCAAACATAAAGGAGACAAAGACAAGAACCAAGCCTCACCGATCATGCTAATTAACTAATTCATAGATAATTTGTTGATTGCAAGCAAAGACTGTAACATTTGTTTTTGAGACACTAAGGTGTTGTTATTTGCTTTAGCAGAAAAGGATCATAAATTCTCCCTTGCCATAACGCAGCTATGCCAGCAACAAGTAAATTAGGGATGATAATTCAGCCTGGGGAAAGGATATTATCATCAGAATAAATACAGGCAATACAAGAGATCTCCACCTCAAACAAAGAAAGAGATCGGAGCATTTCCAGGTGTAGTTGGATTTAGTAGATATTGGATTGGTTTGGGGAAAAAACAAAATCTCTAATAACATTAACTAAAGATGAAGAGCCAGACCAAACTCTATGGACTCTGGAAATCCAGAAGGCATCTACAGATCTAAAACAAGGAGTCATGGAAGCTCCCTCATTAGCCCTGCCAGATGACAACAAACTTAATTATATTTACAAGAAAGGAAAGGAATAGTTAGTGGTGTGTCGTCCCAGAAAACTGCCCAGTGCCTGCGAGCTGCAGCGTATTATGCAGCACAACTAGAACCTGGAAATCAAGGCATGATTTCATGTGTGAGGGCTGTTGCAGCAGCAGCTATGATGACGGAGAGAGAAAGAAATACAGTCCTAGGGCCCCTCCCAGCTGTAATGGTGCCCCATACAGCTTTCCCTCCATTAACTCTTGAGGGGATGTTCCTTATGTACCCACCAACATCTGCATCGTTATGAGTTGATCCTGTCAACCCTAGAACAGTGCGACATGTTACGACCAGCAGTGCTACTGCCAGAAATATTACAGCTGGAATGAGTCTCTCTTCAAAACTGCCTAGAAACCCTGGAATTACAACCAAGAATGTTGTGAAATGTAAAGGAACAGTCACTCGATAACCTGGCCTTGGTATGATTCTATGATGGATCAGCCTACTACAAAAAAGGGATGATGAGTATACACTGTCACCAGGCAATTTATGGTGCTGGAAGCAGCACCTCTTCTTGCTAGTGCAAGACAAATTCGGCAGAAACATTTTTATAAGCAAGCTTGCAATTTACCTTATTAATAATCTGTGCAACTCCTTCTGATATACTGGAAATACACTGATGGAAGGTTTTTGCCCAATTTGAATGGAACTCCTCATGCTGAGAGTGCACAGATGCAGTAAGGGATGGAAACTGAAAAAAAAAAAAAACCCCACAACTCTACTGAAATCAGGTGGCACAATGCCTCCTGGTAAAACTAAAGTGAAGTGTGGCTGAATACCTGTTGGGGGAGCCTGACACTCGTGAACTTCAGCTTCACAAAAGCAAGTGTGAGGTCTGTCTTGGACTGCGAAGATGAATCCTGTTCACTGCGACATCTGCACGTGCTGAAGAACGTTGAGGGTGAGGAACGTTCAGTGGCGTACTGGTTCCAGTCAGGGAGGATTTTGTTTCGTTCCATAATACACCCAGCTGAGTGGCCAGTGTCACCCCCATACCAGTGGTGCTGGGAATCGGCATGGTGGGGGGAACTTTGCAAGGCACACGCGACCGGGAAGGTGTGTGGGGGTCGGCTGCGAGGTTCCTGCCAGCAGCATGGTCTTTTGTTCGGACCTCATGGCTGGTGATTATCAGAGGAGCTTTCCTTTTGCCAAGGAAACTGATCTGGTAAGTGGGGGCATTGGGGGTTTCATTCTCCCTGCTCTCCACTCCTGGGCTCAGGTAGGGGGTTTTCTCCCTCCACTTTTGCTGTTCTGGAGCCTGCTGTGTCAGTCTACGGGCAGTGAGACCCTGTATCATATGTCCTATTTTCTGTCCTTTTAATTACTTATTAGCAGTAGCATTATTAGTAAACCCATGTTCCATTTATATAATTAAATAGTTCTCTCGACTGTTACGAGCCTCCCTTGTTTCCCTCCGACCCTTCCTCACTGGCAGCAGGGGGGTTTGGAGTGGTAGAGCAACTGGTGGTGCTTAGTTGCCCAACAAGGCCAAACCAGACGGTTCATGTTGGTGCCCAACATGGAGCCTGTGAGGGTTGAGGTAAGAACAGATCCCAGTGTGTGATAAGCTCTGCCTTACACTGTGGTGGTGGCTAATCCAGGCGCTGAGTTTGGGGCTTTTTAGGCTGCTGACGGAACAGCAGGATCTGCTCCCTTATGTCTTGCTGATTGCCTTGATTTTCTATGTGCTAGCCAGGCTTCGGGGTTTGGTTAGACTGCTTTGCGTGCTGCTGATGCTGGCAGGGATAATATATCTCTATCTGTACTTAATATTGCTGGAGTGGGTGTTGGTTTTCTTCCAGGGATAAGGTTAGGAAGAGATGGGGGAAGCAGGGGAAATAATGAAACAGGGAGAAGGGCACAAATACAGGCAAAAGGTACAGGGAAGTTAAAAAAAAAAAATCACACAGTGGGAGGGTGAGGCAGGGGGATGGGACTGGAGAGACCAGGATGCAGAAAGAGAGGTGACATAGCCCCATGGGCCAAAGACTTGCTGCACCTACCACTCTCTTCTCTGGGTGCTGGGGCCATGGCAGCTGCAGGAGGTGAGCAGGGCTGGAGCCAATCAAGGGGCTCTGGGGGTCAGACTGCACACTGTCTGTACCCGGAGCAGTCCGTATGCCTCCCCTGCTCCCAGATTACTCCTGAAGCTGCTCCAGCTAGGCCTGGCTACAGGTGTAAGAGTGCCCGTAGCAGGAAGCGGGTTGGAGCCCCCTGCCACAACTGGGCAGCCAGCGGGCAGGAGAGCAGACAGCCTGGGCCATGCAAGTACCACTGACAGCATGCCTGGGGAGCCAAAGTGACTAGGGGGCCATGGCCCAGGACTACAGCCTAGAGCTCCGAGGACAACGAGGATTCCAAAGGCATGCCAAGGGCAGCATGGCACAACACCAACGTTGCTCCCTCCGCAGGTTTCACAGCGAGAACCGCTGTGATGCTGGGGCCGTGAACCTTGGCCGACAGCTATTAGGGTCAGAGTCTGGAGAACCAGGAAGCCCACAGATCCAGGGATAATTGGGA